ATACTAAATTTCTTTTAAGAAAGAGACCTGCTGACAACATTCTGGCCTTCTGATGTTTCTACTGTTAACCAGTGGTGAGCCAGATAGGAATTTTGAGCCTAACAATGACTCAAATTTTTCAGTGTAGATTTGGAATTTTCCCTAGGAACTCAATCTCACTGTGCCAAAATAGTTCGAGGGGAATCATTTAGCACACATGCAGTCTCTTGCCTAATCCAACATCACAAAACACATTTACCTAATAAAAGAACTCAATTAATATATGCCTACCATCCTTACTGCTAAGTTGTTGGAATATTTATTAATCCATTTGCTGGTTTCTGGGACAAGCACCCACAACCTGAAGGAAGAGAGGCTTAACTCATTTCACAGGGTTTTTTTTGTTTGTTTGGTTGGTTTTTTTTAATGGACAATGGCTTTATTGGTCAAGTTCCTGAATGGGATGCATGGGATGCATGAATGTCTAGCATAGAACATCTGAGAGCAACTTTTTAAAGAATGTATTTAGTGCAGGGTGTACAGGGTCTCAATATGTAGATTGGACTTGTAGTGATTCTCCTGTTTTCAGCCTCCCAAATGCTGGGATTACAGGCATGTGCCACCACGCCCAGTCTCAGTTGCCCTCACAGCTCGCCCTGGGGGTGGGGCCGCCACACCACACCCTGCCAGGGATCAAACCCCGGCCACTCGCTTTGCCTAAGCAGGCACTTTAGTCCGCTGAGCTATCTGGCCGGCCCTCAGCTCCCAGATTTGAGGAATGCAGACGATGATCAGCTGTTCCCACACAGACAGCCTCAGGATCGGGCCTGGTGGAGGAATGCTCAGGTCAGGGCGGCCCGGAAGCAGAGCTGGGTGGGGTTTGGGCACAGGTGAGGGCCAGAGGCGGGGACAGAACCTCCCCCTTCTAGGACACGTCCCGGGAAGCACGTCTTCTCTCCAGGGCCACCTCTTAACACACTCACCTACTGAGCTAAGCTGTGGACCATCTGCCAATGAGTATAGTGCCCTATGATGCCACAAAAGGCCCACGTGGGACTTTTATGGGACATTTTAGGTTTAAATGCTAACAGGATTAAAAAAAATTCCTGCCTAAGGAAAACAGCTAAAGTATTGGTAATTTTAATATGGGGGAGAGGGGCTGAAAGTATGCCATAAGTAGCTATGTATCTTTATTGAATTTTCTTAATATAGAATGAAAGTAGTGGTTCTTTTTTAGTAGTCAACATATAATTTGCACTAGTAGCTACTTTATACTTACTCTGACATCCCATTTTTCCTAATTTTATCAAACTGACTTGATATCGTTCTTTATCACTGCCTGCTACAGTTGCCCCTTGGATCGCATGTGACGTATTAGTCACGTCCTTCTACGTGCTTCTCTAAGCTTAGTTCAGCTCAGTCTCCCCAGATCTGCCCTAGTCTGCTCAAGTCCCATCTGTAATCTAGAGTGCCAGGTGTTATCCACTGTGACTTACACATTGCCTGCTGGGGATAGTTCTGAGTCTTCGTGACCAACAGGGACCACCAAGACAACAGCAGCCAACTTCAGGTTCCCTAGTGGTCGTTCATTTCTTGGCCTGATTGAGGCAAAGCTTGGCGGGGTATCTAGGAACATCTTGGAGATTCAGGGACCCCAGTGGGTGTCCTCTGTGGAAGACAAACATGGGAATGTCCCCTATGGATTCTAAAGCTGGGCAGAGGCAGGGGATCAAAGCCAATTGTTAATTATATTAAATGTAACTTCAGATCACTGTGGGGTTTTGCTGTACCTGGATGTAGAATCACAATGTTGTGGAGAAAGCTTGCCTGCAACTTGATAAGGCGCGCCAAATGGCTGTCCCAGACACACCAGTGTACACTCCCACCTGTACTGTATGAATGAATTCCTGCTCTCACACATTCTTGGCAACATCTGGTGTTTGCAGACTTATTTTTACCAATTTGATGGGTGTGAAATGGTGTCTTGTTCTGGCTTTCATTTGCATTTCTCTACTATTGAACATCTTTTCGTAAGTTTATTGGTCATTTGGGTTTCCTCTTCTGTGAATTGGCTGTTCATATCTTTCCCTTTAAAAACAACTGGTGGCATGTTAGGCAGGTGCTCTCCTACTAAGCTGCATATGTCTCGGCCCTTTACAAAAATAAGGTAGGATCTTGCTAAATAGCCCAGACTGTCCTCACATGTCCAGTCCTCCTTAAGACTTGAGAGTCATCAGAATTACAGACATGTGCCTCCTTTTCTAACTTTGCAAGATTGGGATTAGATCAAGTTTCAAGTTGATTATTCTTATTGTCTATATCTTTATTAATATTTTTATTTCTTTTTAAAAAAATTTTAAAAGTCTTTATTTATTTGATACAGGGTCTCACTATGCAGCCTGCACTTGTAGTGATTCTCCTGGCTCAGCCTCCCCAGCAGTGGGATTACAGGAATGCACCACCACACCCCCTTTTGGGGCTGCATTGCATGCCCAGGGTTCTGGGACCAATATGCCATGTGGTACCAGGGATCAAACCCTGGTCCTTGCATTGCTAGGCAAGTCCTTAGACCATGGAGCTATCTCCCCAGCCATTGCTTTTTATTTCATTTGTCAGTATGATTGAGAATTTGTTAATGTCTTCTAGTTATCCTGGAATCCTCTGTCTTATCAATATAAAATGAGTCCAGAATTTTTCTACCGTCCTGTGACTTGTTGCTTTCTTACTATTATGTGGTAACATCTCAAATGTACTTTGCTTTAAGCATTACAATTAATAGATCTGTGCCAGTTTTCTTTGGTTTTTCATATGCTTTGTGTAGCAATTAAGAATATGTTCCACTGCAGATAGAAAATGTGACTACAGTTGCTTAAACAAGAGGGTTTTTTCTCCGCAAGATTGGACATAGATATGGGCCCATCTGTTCAGAAAGTCAGGCTGTTTATCCTTTCTGTTCACCACGCACGGGGCGGCACTTCTGCATCATGCCGCTGACGCCCTTGAGGCGCTGTGGAGGGGGAGGCGGGGATGATGAGACCCGCCTTACGGGGACCCTCCTAGGTCAGCTTCCTGTTGCAGCATCTGTAGAATCTGTGGCAGGGGCCTACCGCTTATGCATATGTCATGGAAGCTCCTCCAAATAGGTGAAATCTAAAGTGAGGAAATGTGACCGTTGCCCTTAACGAATGAAACTGCCAAAAAGAAAACGCTTACACAAATTTGACTTTAAAGCCAGAGCATGTAAGTGTCAGTTCTCTGTAAGCCAGGGAGCCTTTGTTCACTAGAAAGTATAATACAGTAGATTTCAAAGCACTCGGTAAAGTAAGACTACAGGAAGATTTCTGCAAGTTGAGCATATTTGGGAATTTGCTGTCTGTGCTCTCTCGGGACGCCATCTTCTGGGTCTTCCAGAAGCCTGACTGTTCTTCCTCGTCCCCTGTGGCCCCTCCTGCACTTTCTGCCTCTTGCTGGGCCTTTGCCGGCTCTCAGGCAGTGCTCTCCCCTGGCGCTCCCTCTCCTTACACATTGCCTCACGCTTGCTGCCTCTGGTTTTCCCTCCCTCGTGCTCTGCGCCGCTGAGCTGGGTCTGAGGACCACAGTCTGCATCTGCGCCTTCAGCACCCACGAGCCAAGGACTGCTTTCTGTTTTGTACTAAAAATGATTACTGTACATTGGATGGCTCCAGTGTCTCGCAGGGACCCTGGAGCAGCATATTCGCATGGTGACTGCTTGTTTTATGCTAACATTTACAGTGACATTTACCTGCATTGTAAGCCCTTCTTATTTTGTAGGAGGAAAAATACATAATAAAGCCCTTTAAGGTCATACTGAAAGAAAGCCACTAATTGTATTCATTTGTTATTAATTTTATTGAGAAAGAAATAGCAATGAGACAGTTTCAAAGCAGGATAGTAGGACAGTTACAATAATTAATACATTGCATATTGTTGTCTTCATAGTAGTTATTCATAGTACAAGACGTAGACATGATATCACTAATTGTATTAAAGGAGGATTTTTTTTTCTTTAGAGATTGGAGTGTTATATTAGAGTCATTGGGATAAAAGCCTGGCACTGGGCGCTCTCTTCTGGGCACTCAGGCTGCTGGTCCAGGCTCGCATGCCCTGTTGTCATCCTCAGTCCTTGCTCCATACAGTATTGCTGACCAAAACCTAAATGCTATGCAGAGTGGCTGTCGGGGAGCCCGTGCGTCCCCTGGGGATGCAGAGAGCACGTGCTCAGTGGGCCTGCACTGGGCTACTAATAAACCGTGGGGGTCACTTCTCATTTCGATCGAAATACTGCATGTGCAGAAGAACTGTCAAAGAAAAAGAGTTTTGAAATTCTAAGTGTTCCATGCCACAGTTTTTACCATTTTTTTCCTGTATGACTTCTTTATATTTGACTGAAATCCTTCTTTCCTGTGGTAGAAGCCCTTTTTTCCCTTTGCTGATCAAACAGAGCTGTGTCTTTCTGAGTAGTTGACCTTCCTGGCCTTATACTTCAAAACTAGCTTTTCCTTATTCTCTATATACACGATCATTTTAATTTTCTTAATTCTTCTCGCAGATTGTGGTTTGTCCTTTTCTTTTTTTTCTTTCTGTTTTTGTTTTTTTTTTTTTTTTTTTCGTATTTTAGGGAAGGGTCTACAGTGTGCTCAGGGTCTCATGAGTAGATCAGATTCATAGTGATCTTCCTATTTACAGCCTCCCAAGAGCTGGGATTACAAGTAAGTGCCACCACGCCCAGCCTCAATCACTGTCTCAGCATGCCCCAGGGGCGGGATCGGCATAGCAGGCCCGATGCTCCTGCACCTGTTTGCAGGCCCTTAATCTGCTGAGCTGTTTGGCCAGCCCTTTGGTTTTTCAGCTAATTTTTCTCTGCACTATGCGACCCAACGTTAAATTTCAAATCTCTGATAACTATTGTAATTATATGATCATTTCTGTGTATAAACTTGAACTAATTAAATTGAATTTAGGTTTCATTGTGTTTCAACTCTTCTAAAATAATCTTTCAGCCACGGAAATAAAGAAGTGTTTTCCTGCCGAGGAATAAAACTGGCGGTGGATTGGTTTTTGGAAAGAGGCCACAAAGATGTTACAGTTTTTGTTCCTGCTTGGAGAAAGGAGCAGTCCCGCCCTGATGCTCTTATCTCAGGTGAGCTCCTTGCAGGCAGCTGTTCCTGGCTGTGTGTAGAACCTACGCAGGCATCTGGCTCAGGTAGCCATGTTTCTGTGTACTTAATCTGTGTGACTTCAACATTCTCTTGGGTGTAAAATTAAAGTTGTTTTTGGGTTTGAAAATATCTTACTGTGTTAACTAAACATTCAGCTTTGCTCTATAAGTCAAGTTGTTTCATTTATGTTGGAAACATCAACTTCAGTTTTTGAAATTCTGGCTGGCCGTGTTGGTACATGTCTGTGATCCCAACACTTTGGGCAGCTGAGCCAGGGAGATACAGGTTCAAGCCTGGCCTGGACAATTTAGTGACTTACCAAGGCCTTGCCTCAAAATAAAAACTGTGAAAGCCCTAGGCTCAGTCCTCAATACGAAGGTATACTCATACATACCGAACAAATCTGATTTTCAGGCTATGCTGAGAGTTAGGGGACATCGTCTAATTTTCTAATTTACTCGGCTTAGCACCCTGAGCAACTCACTGAATCGATTTGAATCCCACTTTTCTCATAGGCTGCATGAGATTAGACTATGTGGTACATGCACTCTCGTGGCTACAGGCCACAAAAGACCTGGGGTATTCTGTCCCCTCAGGAAGAAGGAAATGCCCAGGTCCCAGTAATTAGTTACCATTCATAGTTTATGTTATCCTGTCGAGTTTCAGGCAGAGACGGTCTCTGTAATGATTGTTGAACATTGGATTCAACTTTAGTGACTCATAGCCATTATCCACTCCTTCCTTTCCTTCTCTCCGCCTCTAATATTAACTGATGCTGTGATGAAACTGTATAAAGAAAATTCTAAAATGTTTCTGATGAAAAACAAATGAGACCCTCTACCATGTACAGAAGGGGAAGATTATTTAAGACTTTTATTTTACCTGCAATTATTGAATCATTGGTAAATTAGGAGAAGATGAATAGGAAAGTAATGGCACAGTCCAAAGCGGTGGCCCCAAACAGTAGACTATGTAATAATGCAGTGGAGCCAGACGTGGTGGTACCTGCCTGTCATCCCATCACGTGGGAGCCTGAGGCAGCAGGATCGCCGTGAGTTCAAAGTCAGCATGGGCCACATAGTACGTTTAAGGCCAGCCAAAATGTTACAGTAATTATTTAAGAAAATGTCTTGTCTAGATTTATTTTAGATCTTAAAGAGTGATGAACACAAAGCTGTTACTACTACCCAGAGGGTTAAAAATAATTAGACAACTCTGGCATGCCAGATAAGAAGGAAAATGTCCAGCCTCCATAAATAAATGCAAATCTAAATAATTGTTATTTTTCACCCATCAAAATAGCATGAAAAAGGATCTGGAGAGACGGCTTGTTAGTGTAAGCACCTGCCTGGCAAGTGCAAGGACCTGGGCTCAGTCTCCCACACGCAGGCTGTGCCAGCCTGGGAACCCTGGGCAAGCCATGCCGGCCACTGAAACCAGATGTGGTGGCACATGCCTGTAATCCCAGTGCAGAGGAGGCTGAGACAGCAGGATCACTACAAGTCTGAGCTATGTAGTGAGACCCTGTCCCAAATAAATGAATAAAGAAATAAATGATTTTTTAAAATAACATAAAAAAGTTAATATCTTCAGTGTCCTAAGGAAGCTCTTAATATACTTCTGTGAAAATGTATACTTTGTTTCAACCCTCCTGGAAAACATTTGGTCTTAAAATGTTAATACAGTAGTCCTCCCTTATTCAAATTATTAAATGGAGACTTCCAGAAGTAAGTTCATAAATTTTGAGGTGAGCACTGTTCTGAGTGCTGTCCTGAAGGCTCCCGCTGTGCTCCGTGTCCCGCCCGGGGTGTGAGTTGTCCCTCTGCTCTGCTGTCCGACACTCGTGTGCCTCACCCTCTGCTCACTTGGGGCCTTTGCAGTTGCTAGAGTGAGCAGAGCAGGTGCACAAGTGGGTCCGGCTTCACCTAGGACCGGCCTCGAGCTCGAGGGTGTGCTGGCAGTGGGGTGTGCGGGACAGAAACTGTAAGCCCCTCCCCTTAAGTGAAAAGGTACAACTTCTCAATAAGGAAAGAAGATAAATGGTATGCTGATGTTGATAAGATCTATAATAAGATGTTTTGAGACAGATAGACCATGGCCTGTATAACTATGAACAGTATTCTTGTAAGTGTTCACTTTAATTCTTCTTCGTATTAATCTTTTCTGTGCCAAACTTACAAATTGACCTTTATCATAGGCATGTGCATAAAGGAGAACGAGTGTGTGTGTGTGTGTGTGTGTGCATGTGTGTGTGCATGTGTGTGTGCATACGCATGCACGTGTGTGAAGGAAGTAAAGTGCTAATGGGGAGAAGTCAAGACCTCGTAACCGCAAGGCTCGGAGGCAGTCCTGTTGCCATTTGGTGTTGCTACTTCTGTATGTATTTTCAGATGTTCACGTTTGTAGGTTACGGATGCAGATGGATTCCTTTCCTCATCTTCCATTCGTTTAACAAGTACTTAGCTATGCTAACTATTAGCCATATGTGTCGGGCTTGGTATTGTGTGTGTTAGGCATGCACTCGGGGGCACCGTGGAACATACACTCCGTAAGGAAGACCTGTTAGGTATACTAGCCTTATTTCAGGAAAAAGTCCCCCCAAAAGTAATCAGAGGCACAGACAGTATTTATAACCAAAGATATTCATTGAAGTATTATTTTAAAGAGAAAAATATGAAAAATACTATATGCTCCATTTGAAGAATGGCTCAGTAAGTTAAGATATATTTATATAATAGAATATAGATTAGAATGCTTTGGCAGAATTTTTATTGTAAAGTGTTTTATTACATAAAAGTCAGGTTTTATTATATATTTGTAAAAAGAAAGAAATCCGCAAGTCAGAAGAAGGAAATTTACCAGCATTAACAGTGTTTTCTGTGAGCTGTGGTTTTATGTGGTCTTTTTTTTTTTTTTTTTACTAGCAAGCTTTTTATTTTCCCATAATAATACATTCACATATTTTCAGTAATTACCAAAAACCTAGTTTCCTGTCAAGAATAAGACTCAAGTCAACAACTTCTGACATTGCCAGTCCTATGGATAACCCACTACTATTATGGACTACTGGACTATATTGGATTATTTTGCTGAATTCACACACATACAATATTTAAATGACAATGAATACCCATCTCTAAAAAAACTAAACAAAAAAGAGGATACAAAGGAAGTATCATTTTGTATCTGTATATACAAAATAGGATAGATATGCAACTACTTTCTCTTAATTCAGTGAGAAGAAAGATTTGTACTAATAGTATTTGGACAGGATATCCTGTCTGCATCTTGTACTATGAATAACCACTATGCAGACAACAGTATGCAATGTATTAATTATTGAAACTGCCCCATTAATAGGTTTTGAAACTGTTTTATTGCTGTTGCTCAATAAAATTAATATAAATAAACATAAAGAAGTGATAAATGCTTAAGCAAATGGAAATTATAATTATCCTTTGACCATTCTATATTGTATACATGTATCAAATTATTATATCATACACTATACATATGCATATGTAATTATACCAATTCAAAAGAAAAATTAATACAACTAAAGAATAAAAATTTAAGTCAGACAAAATAAAAATAAAAACAATAAGTTCAAATTTAAACTCCTGAGAGCCTCTCTCTTTTTTCTTATTTATGAGGTCTTTATTTCTCCCTACTTCTCAGTGTATCTTCCCTAATTTTTTACAGGGGCCTTCCAATACTTTTGATAATCAAGGGTGGGTAAAGAGAAAAAGCAAATGTTTATGTAAATGACCTGCAGTGTTACTGAGCAGGAAAGGAATATGAGTTCAAGAAGGGAAAACCAATAATACACAGTGAGATGTGGCTGAGTTTGATTTTAAAATACCAACATGGCAGGTTTCTGGAATACATTAGCATATGGTTTACTTTTGAAAAATGCCAGAACTATTATCAGGGGAGTTTAAGTGTTTTCATCTCCAGAGTAATAATTTTCTTGAGTAAAGCTCTCACCAGATAACAGCTGATAAATCAAATAGTCCAGTACTCATTGCTGAAAAAAAAAAGACTTGATTAAAAAGTTAGTTTACAGAATCATAAATTCAGACCAGCACTTTTTCTAATCTTCTGTTCATTTAACAAGCACTTAACAGGCCCTGCTACTGTGTTAAGTCACTAGCTATAATGAAGCTGCATGCAAGTGAGTATCGTTTGAGTCCTTTCAACCTCAGTAACTGTTTCATAAATGCGAATTAGGCAGGATGAGAGGACTCCTGTCGGGTTCCCTGCATGCTGCCCCTTTCTCTTTGGTTAGGCTCAAGGTACATCGAAACACCTTTACAGATAAGGCTGTTCCTTGCGTTACTCATGCACAAAACTATACCACAGATTTCAGAGTACACAACTTGGCTCACTTAGGCGCTTCTCACATAGACATTCACTGAGCATCTACTAATGTGTGTCTTGGGCTGAGTACCAGTAGATATGAGATCAGGAGACCTGGTGTCTGTCCTCAAAGTGTTTATCAGAGAGACACATGAGGTAATTATGATGTGATAAACTCTGTCATTGAAGCTGGGCTTTTGATTTTATATTTGTTTTCTGTGGTTTAGAAATGAGGTCAGCATTTACATCTTTTAAAATTACGTTGAAGAGCTCTGTGTTTATTTAGAGCTTGCCAGACACTGCGGTGGGTCCCTGTGTGTCAGCCCATTGGCCCTGGCAGCCTGTGCTCAGTAAGTCAGGCTCAGTAAGATTCAGAGCACCAGATGTGCGAATAGAGAATCCCAAGATTTGTCCCTGGTGGACTGATGCTGTTGCCCACATTTCTTTCACTCATACTTTGCTTTGCGTTTCTAAGATCTTAATGAACTCATTTGTCAGAAAGACACACCTTCAGTAGGCCAGCATTACCGCTGGCCACACCACGCTCGCATTTTCTGCAGTCCCTGCTGTGGTACAGTTCCGCCCTTGTTTACCTGCTTTACCTGTTTGTCTGACAGGTAAAGTAACCCCTTCCCTTTGAGGAGGGGTCATTCTTAACTGCAGTTGTCATTGATACCTACCTAGTACAGCACATGGAACAGACATCTAATTGTCAGAGTTAGACTTAAAACAATAAATAGTGGCATTTGTTCCTGCAGTTTTTCACAAGAAAGGACATGAACACAGACTAGCCAAGTCTGTGACACTGCTTCTGAGCTCATTGCCACCTTTTTAAGATTTGTTCCGTTTGCTTCCTTCACCACTTGTACCACCCCTCTCGGGTTCTCTGACCATCACATCAGTAACCCCAAAATGCGCAACCTTGGGAGGGAAACACCTGTGCGCTCACACCCGAACCCTTGTTGTGACGTCTTCATGCCCGGGCTGCGTAGGACCCTGGTGGCAGCGCGTGTGGCTCCAGCTCTCAGGCAAATGCCTCATGGAATGAGAATCAGAATTTCCCAGTCGTGCTGCAAATTGTAAACTCTTCATTTTTTAAACTGCTTTTAGAGCCTTTGTTATAGAAATTCCGAGGAGAAAAATATTGGGAGTTATAAACTGCTAAATCTATAAACTATAAATCATCCTTTCTAATTAAATGATATATATGTCATAACAATTTGTATAGCAACTCAGGTTGTATGAAACTTGCCATGTGTGTTGTGTGACTTCACGCCTGAAGTTCTACCCCTGTTATTCTTGCAGATCAGGAAATTTTGCGCAAGTTAGAGAAGGAGAAAATCCTCGTGTTCACGCCATCCCGGAGAGTCCAAGGGAGGCGAGTGGTGTGCTATGACGACAGGTTCATTGTGAAGCTGGCTTTTGAGTCCGATGGCATAATCGTGTCCAACGATAACTACAGGGATTTGGCAAATGAGAAGCCGGAGTGGAAGAAGTTCATAGATGAGCGGTTATTAATGTATTCATTTGTCAATGACAAGTAAGTAAACCAATGATACTGCTTCCCTGAAAATACGTGTACGAGCATCCCAGACAGCTGTTACAGAATCTTGCTCTTGTTGCCATGGGAGAGACCTAAGACACGTGTCTGACTTCCCCACTGACCTTCAGCAGACAGGAGAATTGCAGCCTTGAGCTGCAGAAGCCCCAGGGGAGCTCAGGCCCCCTGTCCCTGCCTGAGCACCTGCAGCAGAAGCTTCTAGACCTCCGAGGAATGGCGACTTCCCATTTCCAACCCCCAAGAAAACCACCTTTGAAGGCCAAGTTGGGGTACTGATAGCTTACTAAACACCTGTTTTCTTAAGTCGTTACATAAATGTGAGACTAGCCTTGATCGTAGTGTACATGCGGGTGAATGGGCAAGTAACAGGAACAAGGGTGACTGCAGAAAAGTCCCCTTAGTGGTTAGAAATGCAGTCTGACTCTAGAACACTTATTTTTTCATGTATTTAATTCACAACATTTTTATATGCCAGGGAAGGGTGGGGAGGAATGGGATAGTGAACGGAATTAAGAGGAGTCAGGTACGTGTATGACTACACTCAGGGAAGGGCAGCATTGTGGGCTGCAGATGTACACAAAAGAGGAAAGAGGGTTGAGAGATGAAGGAGCAATGGGGGCCAAAGGGACAGGGCATGACAAAGGGATTCCGTGTATCGCTGTGCCAGCTCGCATGAGGAATGTAACAGTTGCGTGCCACATACACATACTGAGTTTTAAAAGAGATACTTGTAAACTGGCATACAGTTTAATGGAGGTTATTGGATTTAAAGTTTGTTTACCATCTCAACCCAGTAGTGTCAGTTCTTGGACAACATAATGAAGACAAATGACCAGATACATTCATTTCTGTATTACTTATAATTACAAGAATTCAAAGGCAATTAGGCAATTAAACATACAATAGAGAAATCAGTCAATTTACATATCCTACTGGAATATTATTTAGCTGTTTGGAATAATTAGAACAGAGGCTAATGTGGTTAAATGTGGAAAGTGTTCTTATGTTAAAAAGGAAAAGCATAAAACGCAGACCTGAAATAAAATATTACTGAAATTGTGAGCTTGAATAACTGTCATGTATTATCTTTTAACCTTATTTTTTTTATAATGTTCACACTGCTACCTAGCTGTTTTGTCTCCCCTAACAGTTTATACATTATTTGCATTATTTTTATTTTGTGGGTAAATACTTGGGCTTCTAAGTTCAAACGGCAACATGATGAGTAATAAAATTCTCCAGTCCTAACTTTTCTGCATGATGCACAGCATGCAGTTTTCTTCCTGCTGTTGGACAGTCAATCCAAAATAATAGCTTGCTTGATTAAGGTTTTTTTCTATCGCAGGTGATAAACTATCACTGTAGTGGAGAGAGAACAGACTTGAGAGAGAGACGTACTTTAGTCTTGACAACGCTTTGAGATGCTAAGTAACAGTTACATAATTCCTCTGAATCTAAATGAGAAAAGCTCGTGACTTAGTGTGTCAAGTGTCTGACGCGTAATTGACGCCTGGCAAGTCTGTCTTTCTGTATGTTCTGCCTCTCCTCCCGGCCTTCCTCTGCTGGCTGGCTGGCTGCTGGATGGCTGGCTGGCTACCTGCTCTGTACTGCTTCACAACACCGACATTTCCTGAGCCCTCCTAAGATGTCATTATCATTATTTCCTAAAATTCTTATAAAATCCCAAGTTTGAAAGGAGGAAAAATTAGAGCATGCAAGATCAAAACTAATCTGAATTTTAAAATATTGAAGTATGTCTTAAAATATTGAAGTATGTCTTAAAATATTGAAGTTCAGCAGACTAAAGCACCTGCTTAGGCAGAGCGCAGCGGCCGGAGTTTGATCTGCTGCATGCAGTGCTGGCCCCACCTCTGGGGCGCGCTGAAACGGTGATTTGAGAGTAGGAATGGTGGCATGCACCTGTAATCCCAGCACTTACATTGTGGGAGGCTGAACACAGGAGAATCACTACGAGCCTGATCTACACAGTGAAACCCTGTAGACCCTGTACTAAATACATGCATACATATATATATATTATATGTATAACATATATAATATAATATATATTATATAATATGTGGAAAATTTTTATTTTGTCTTCATTAAGAAAGGAGTGGGCCAGCCAAATAGCTCAGCAGATTAAAGCACCTGCAAGCAGGCACAGGAGCCAGGGGTTCTATCCCCAGGCCTGCCATGCTGGCCCTGCCCCTGGGCATACTGAGACGGCAGTTGAGACAGGGTATGGTGGCACGTGCCTGTAATCCCAGCACTTGGGAGGCTGTAAACAGGCAAATCACTACAAGTCCAATCTAGTAGTAAGACCCTGAACACCCCATAGACCCTTCCCTAAAATACAGAAGAAAGAAAAAAGGAATGCTTCATATACTGATATTTATCTTTTAAAAGTGGAATCAAAACACTTGGATTAAAATTTCCGAAGTGCACATTAGAGTGGATGTGTCTGTACTCTATATCCAGACGTAGCTGCCAGTCCCCTACTTAGGTCGGATTCTTTTCATTCTCTGGAACAGGTTCATGCCCCCTGACGACCCTCTTGGCAGACACGGCCCAAGCCTGGACAATTTCCTCAGGAAGAAGCCTATCGTTCCTGAACACAAAAAGCAGCCTTGTCCATATGGTACTTTTTTGTTTTTTTAACAGATATTTAACATGTGCCTTTAGGGTACAATGTATTGTTATACTTTTGTTAATAAAAGCAAACATTTGAGCTTTTGGATGATGTAGAATGTGGGTTCTTCTGATTGTAGTTAAATTGAAGGAAGTGTCTTAGCTATGAAAGAGAGTTGCCCTTAGCTTCACAGGATTGATGCGCTTGCATTTGCTTGAAGGAAGATACGGTTTGAAACTAGTAAATGCTACATGAAGTCAGTCTTGGGGGTGAGAATCTAGAATTCTTAAATCTAAATGTCAGGAACGTGGCTTTATCACATCGCAGCAGTACAGTTACTCTTCAGACAAAATCTCCTGCTGATTGTAAAATCCTCCTGAAAGAAGAGCAGCTGTGCACTGAGGCTGTGGGCATTAGCCAGGACCTGTGGAGGTGCAAGTCATTCAGCCAGCTTCTCTTGATCCTTGAGAGTGAGGATGTGCGGGCTGAGAGGTGACCCTTCTCAAGGGTAGGACACCGAGCAGTCCTTAGCTGGCCTCCCATTTCTGCCTTTGCTGCCGTCACAGGTTCAGGTGGTAGGGCCACGCTGACCTCTCAGGATCTGCTGGTTTGCTCCTGTGCCTAACTGATTTTACTCTCCATAGGAAAGAAGTGTACCTATGGACACAAGTGCAAATACTACCATCCCGAGAGGGGCAGTCAGCCCCAGCGGTCAGTGGCTGATGAGCTCCGCGCCATGTCTAGAAATACAGCAGCCAAAACTGCAAATGAAGGAGGACTGGTGAAAAGCAACAGTGTACCTTGTAGCACAAAGGCTGATAGCACTTCCGATGGCAAGCGAGGTGCTCCAAAGAGGCAGTCAGATCCGAGCATAAGGACTCAGGTCTACCAAGACCTAGAGGAAAAGCTTCCCACCAAAAACAAACTGGAAACCAGGTCTGTACCCTCCTTGGTTAGCATACCAGCCACTTCTACTGCAAAGCCCCAAAGCGCCACATCTTTATGCAATGGCCTTCCATCTGGAGTTCATTTCCCACCTCAGGATCAAAGACCACAGGGACAATATCCTTCAGTGATGATGGCAGCCAAAAACCATGGCACACCAGTGCCTTATGAACAGTATCCCAAGTGTGACTCCCCTGTGGACATTGGCTATTATTCCATGTTGAATGCATATTCCAATCTGAGCATCTCAGGCCCACGAAGTCCTGAAAGGCGTTTCTCATTAGACACAGACTACAGAATCAACTCTGTAGCTTCTGACTGCAGTAGCGAAGGCAGCATGAGCTGTGGGAGTAGTGACTCCTACGTGGGCTACAACGACCGCTCCTATGTCAGTTCTCCCGACCCGCAGCTAGAGGAGAATTTGAAGTGTCAGCACCTGCACCCTCACAGCCGCCTTAATTCCCAAGCTTTCCTGCAGAACTTCCACGACCCTTTGACCAGAGTGCAAAGTTACAGTCACGAAGAACCAAAGTTCCATCACAAGCCACCTCTGCCGCACTTGGCTATGCATCTGCAGCACCCCGCTGTGGGTGCCCGGTCCAGCTGTCCTGGCGATTACCCCTCTCCTCCAAGCTCGGCACACTCGAAGGCACCACACCTAGGGCGGTCCTTAATGGCCACAAGAATAGACAGCATTTCTGATTCTCGACTCTATGACAGTTCTCCTTCAAGACAAAGAAAGTCTTACTCCCGCCATGAAGGGCTGGGAAGCTGGGATAGGCCGAGTTATGGGGTGGATGCATATGGGTATCGGCAGACTTACTCCTTGCCCGATAACTCTACCCCACCGTGTTATGAACAGTTTACCTTCCAGAGCCTGCCGGAGCAGCCAGAGCCCAGCTGGCGAATACCATACTGTGGAATGCCACAAGATCCTCCGAGGTACCAGGACAACCGAGAGAAAATTTATATCAACCTGTGCAACATCTTCCCGCCTGACCTTGTGAGAATTGTCATGAAAAGGAACCCTCATGTGACCGATGCCCAGCAACTGGCTGCAGCCATCTTGGTGGAGAAATCGCAGCTGGGCTATTGAAAGACGATGCATCTTTGTGGTGTTTAGTTTAATCGTTGTTTTGTTCAGCTCAAATGCTGAGGGAGGTTTGCTACAATAGCACATGTGATCTCCTTCTCAGCAAGGAGGTTCTATAGTATCCATTTATGTGAAATACTGTATCATGGAACCTGTATGTACAGCCCCTCATGGTGGAAGTATCCTGGGATCGCTTTACATCCAAACTGTTTTTGTTTTTAACATTTCCTTTTTAAAGCTATATCTTCGACTGGACATTTATCCAGTTTGATTTAGTAGATGTATCTGTGACCTTTGATATTGACCTTTGGTGCATCAGGGGTTTATATGCGGCACTTTTTATCCTTGTTTCATGTTTTACTAACTTAGTCTTTGTCTATCAATGGCAAGCAATTACAATACCTTCAGAACGTGGAACCTTTCACTAGACCCAGCAAAATATTTTTTCAAGCCAAGCTTAATTAGAATCTTTTACAGCTTTTTAAGTTATTTTTATTTGGGGAAAGTGGGTTTCTTTGTCTTATAATCATTATTTATAGAAACAGATATACTACAGCACTGACTTTATATATTAAAACCTAAGTTACCAATTTATGCTGAAATGGGTAAAATATATATATATATATATATACATATACATATATATATATACACACACACATATATATGTATATGAGTAATTTACAATATGGCACTTTTATTGCTTTATTTTTGTTTGGACTTTTTCTGATAAGAAATCAGTTAATTTAATGGTCAATTTAAAAGACAGCAGATGCAATCAATGGAAAAAATTGTTTCCATTTTTTTTTTTTAATGAATAAGGCAAAAGCCGTAACTGTTTCAGTTAGCGCTTTGTGATCCAACTCTGATGTGCTTCTGTAGAGGTGGAATTGAATTCCGAGATTCCCCTTGATTTATATGTTTGTGTTTTGTTTGGGGGCACAACGATACTGGAGAAGGAACCCTTTCGCAGTACTTGCCTGTTTTTAATGAATCTAATTATTCTCAATGCAATTTTATATTTAATATACTCTAGCTTTCCTGCTATTTATCAAGGCTGGCCTGAAATGGTTTGTGTGTTGAGGATATGCAACATTTATTGATACTGCACTATAGAAATAGTGATGGAGGAGTTGTAAATGGTAACTTAAAATTTTTGTAAGATAGTGTATATTTTCCATTTTCCTGAAGGTAGTTTTTTGGGGGCCTGTTATATTATTAAGGCCAGACTCTTGCCACAATAGTGTAGTTTTAGATACAGACTACTGTCTGTTCTAGTATTAGTAAGGGATATTTCTGGTTTCAAACTCAGGGGTTTTGCTGATTGCAGCTGCCTTTCTGCAGACGAGAAGAGGGATTTTGCAGTAGCGGCAGACAGTTGCACGATTGAGAACTTGACAGTTGTTCCAGACTCTGAGTTTTGCGTAGTGTCATATACACATTCAGGTCTGCTTTTGTAGTCTGCTTGGATGTTCTAGTCATTGGGATTGTTCTACTTGCTGCAGTCGGAAGTAAAGCCCTGAAAAACCAGAAAGTACCTTTTACTGTTGATACAAATTGTATCTTTTTAATTATAAGAACTATTTTGATTTGTAGATCTAGTTAAAAACACAAATGTGTAACTCTGATTAGACTTTTGGGCAACATTTTATCCCTTATTTAAATACAAATTTTTAAAATAAAATTGAGGTCTATAATAGAGTAGAAAATAAAAGTAACAATCTAGGTAAATAAAAGTGTCTGTCTTAGTTTATATAATATATTAAAATATATTAAATTTATTGGCATTTTCTTTCTTCTAAAACTTACTTAGTGTGAACTTCACTAAAATAAAGGTAAAATGCTGCCTGAAAAAAATAATGTCCAAGCATCTTTGACTAGGATAACATTTTCACTACTTGTGTGACACTGTGTGTTGCAGGAAGTAGCACTTGGGTATACAGTAAATGCTTCTAAAAGGCATTGTGCATATTGACATATCCAATAATCTGAACCATGTTCAGCAAACTTAGTTCAGGAAAGGAAAGTGACGTTCTCCACGACGACTGCTGTTGCGCTTGGAGCGGGTGTGGCCCGCGTGTGCGCCCAGAGATGATGCGGGTGACGCCACGCAAACCATCCTGCATGGTGGCTGTCCGAGAGGGACCCTGCTCACTTGGGAAATTGTTCTTGATTTTTGTTGTTCATTATCTATAGAACAAGTTGCAATGTACAGGCAAAAAGAGTGCCAAAAACTAGGGTGGCCGTGTGTACGACCTTTCATTTTAACCATATTTTAAGACATTGTAGTGCGAAGTCACTGCTAAGTTATACGTGTAGGTTTGGCTACCCTTGTCTTCATTTTAGTATTTAATTATTTAAGATCGCTAAACCTAAGTGGTTTTAAATAAGATCTTAGGTTAAATAACTATGATATGACTTTAAACTTGACCTGCTAATAGTTTAGTTGACTTGTCATTTTTTTTTTCTTAGAAAAATAACATACACTGCCATCATGTATACTGAAGTGAATAGCTCTGAACTACCCATGCCAAAATTGTTCAGTTTAATTAGCTGTGCATAAGAGGTAGCAATTTTCTTATGTCACCCAGGACAATTTGTCCCCCCTTCCTTTTTTTTTTGGAAGCACCAACATTGCTTTCAGAGCTTGCAAATGAGATAATAAGCTGACTTTAGGTACCGCAAATTCTTGTTATCGAAAGCAATAAATAAAAGGAGTCCATTACTAAATTAAATCCATAGCTGACTGCAAACCTTCATTTAGCCAAAACCTTATTCCTAGCCCTGATCCTTCTTTACCAGACTTGCTAATACATAACCAAAACGAGGCGTGTTAATAAGTAATGAAGTTGCCAGAGTGGTCAGCTGAAAACAATCAGTCTAGAATATTCTGGCCCTGAATAATGCACAGTTGGCTGTACTTCAGATGGTATTAGCCACTCCGTTGTCGCTGTGTCAAGGCCAGAGGAAGAGCCCCCGACTGGCCGAACACTAGTCCTCCGCATCGCCTCATTTCTTGTACGTGATGCAGATCTTTTCAGTGTCAGTTTTATGATCTCTATCTCGATAGAGTTTGTCATTGACCTATTCATTAAAAGAAATGCTCACCAATATGAAATATTTGATTCTGGTGGAAACTTGAATTTTGTGTTTTTATGAAAACAAATTTATTATTATACATAATATAACTAAAGTGTTTTATATATATATAGACATATTTGTTATGAAGTAAAAATGGAGGGGTGTTTCCTTTGATGACTAACAATTTCTTGATCATACTGTTGTTTGAGTTATCAATGACCAAGTCTGGGGTCTGGATGACCAATAAGATTTAGAACCACTTTAATGGAAAGCAGTTCTTCACTAGTTTTATTCCTTGTATTTTTAAAAACTTATTTTGATAATTTTAATAGAATGTGTAATTTTAAAATACACACAAGAACTTTAAGGTAGTATTGATTATACAAATAATTATTTAACTTGTCTTTTATGGATGTATCTATATGTAAATAGTAATATATTTATGAAACAAATATACTTTATGTTGTAGTCCTTTGTGCCATGTGGGAGCATGGCTGCGTGGGTGGGCAGGTGGCTGGGGGTGACTGTGTGTGTATGTGTTTATGTTTTGAAACCTTGCACGCCATTTTCCCCAATTTAATACTCTGAAGTGTATTTGGTTCGGTTCTTTCTGCCGTCCAGTTTCCTTACTCAATTCCCGACTGACCTAGAATCAAGCGTGCTAGGGCTGGAGATAATGGTTATGCTCCAAGTATATTGAAGATGAAAACTCAGCTGCTGTGCTGTTGTTTCCAAAATAGATACCAAGAAATGACATGAAATATAAAAGAAGCTGGAATGTATGCACAGACTAGGAGAAAGTGGAATGTCAACAAAAAGGGAAGAAGCTTAAATTACTTTTATTGGTCCAGGAAAATCTCCTAGAGCAAGTGTTGGCAAACTTTCTGTATCTTCAGATGGTAAATAGCGTTTGAGAATCCAGCGGCCTCTTGAGAAGCGCTCACCCTGTAGCACAGAAGTGCCGAGGACAGTATGTAAAAGGGTGTGGCCAAGTTCTAGGAAAACTGGGTTTTACTGGAAACTAGTAGGGTTGGTACGTGTGGCGGGGGATCCCAAGATGGAGCCCCACCTGGGGAACTTGGCCAAGCCTGTCACAGAATTCAGAAGAGGATCTAGCTCTGGGTAGTGGTCCTGGATTTAATCCTCAGGAGGAGGAAGTGGGGGCGGCACTGTACTGAGGGGAACAAGCAGCAGCGCGCATTTGGCTGGTGGCTACTCCTGGGCACTGCCCCAGAGGAGGAAAATGGCATATTAAACAGCAAATTCTAGTACTATATATGTTAGTGTAAGAAATAATCATATTTCAGCTGATATTCAAAGAAAATCTGCTATTTAAAAGATAATTGTGAGACAGTCATGATATACTTGTCTTTTAACAGGTCACACCTGTTATTTATTAGAAATATTTCTTGTGTTTAATAAGCCAAAAAATCTGTAGAAAAGATGTTTAAAAAGTATTAACATTTCTTAATGAACTTTGTGTTTCTCTTGATAAATGGGAATCCTTTGCCAGTCTTTTATTATTTTTTTTTTTAATGACCTCATGGACTACTGTTGTATTTTAAAAGTAAACATATAACTAGCCACATTTTTTTAAAGATTCCATTTATAAATTACCTTTTTCTGTTATCTTTGGAACCTAATAAATGGCATATCTATCTGCCCCTTTGAAAGAAATAAACATTGTAATTTCATACATTTTAGCTCTCTGTAAAATTAAAAGTTGTGACTGATCATAGCTTTAATGGGAGTGTATTTGTTACATTGTTGTTCATTGTAAGAAACAAAGTTACCTCTTCTTTCCCACGTGTGTAACCCTTAACACTGTCCGTGGTGAGTGGTGTTCTCAATGATTGTGTAAAATGGTGAGTTCACTGGCAGTACACGCTGTTGAGTGTGTTCTTTCCCTGTGTTTCGTGCGTGATGTTACAACAGTTATGTCCACTTAAGTAATTGTACTTTCTTAGAAAACTGGAATACAACTCTAGCCTTTTTCCAGGGTTTATTGTTTTCAGTGGCTCCTTCCATTTCTTTAATGTTCTCTGTAAGCTTGCTTGTTTATCCTCTTAGAATGTTATTATTAGAAATGGCCTTTTCCCTAAGATCCTGAGTCTTTTGTATTTAAAACAACTTAGGACTTTGACCATTTGCCAGTAGAAAGTGTCTATGCATGTTTTTAATTTATAAAATTTGTGAAGTTTTCCTTCTTAAACTATGTACTAAATTTTCTGTCCAAGTATTTCAGATGAAAAACAAAATGTTGAACTTTAAAGCTTTTCCACCTTTCGTTCTAAAGTGGCTTCTATTAGTAAAGGAAAAAGACATTGAAAAGCAGTGGCTTGTATTTGTAAAGACTATGTTTAGGGTCCCTTAAGTTTTTTAATTGTAATTTTTTACCTATGTAAACCACTGACAAACATGCAGACTTCTGCAGAGACAGTGTCTCAGTGCACGTGTACCAGGTTCCTGGTTTTATCTTTTCCTTTTAGCTTATTTTCTCCCAAAGCATAGTTATGTGCTGATAGGATTCTGCCAACTTCTCTTACAGGAAAAGTGGTGCAAAGAATCTGTTTAGAGAATCAGTGAGTATGCTAACGCAATTCTGTTTGTCTGTATGGTTCTGTAGTGGAGTTCTCACAGTTCCAAAAGCAATATTTTAAACCTACTAGGAATCTGTATCAAAATAGCTAGATGATTCTGCCAGTGCGGTGGAAGAAGTTAAAATACTCATGTTTTTCATGGTGATTTGTCTTCTGTTTCATAAAGAAATTGATCTCTTATGGCAGCTTAGATGCTATATAAATGAAATGCCTAGCTTTCTCGAGTCCCGCAGCCTGCCTGCATTCCGTCGCTGATAACCATCCTCTGCGGTGTCATGAGCGTTCTGTAGGGTGAGCATGTGTTCAGTTATCAGTGTACATATTGAAGCCAAAATTAATTTCTGTGAAAGCTGAAATTAAATGTCAAAGACAACTAGTCATCTTATGGTGAGAGTGTTTTTCTTTCTAATCTGCTGCTAGCGTGTTTCTGGTGATTCGAAAGTGTCATCAGGTATCTAGCTAAGAGTGATTTTTCCAATGCGGGGTGACACTGGTGTCATTTTTTGTATTAGGCCTGCCAGGTAATCAGAAAGTGTTCCCGAAGACCCTCCTGGGAGGGTGCTGTGTGCTAGGCGTGCATGCCAGCTTTGAGCAGTAATACGGGTGAACCCTCCGTGAGTTCGGGGGCCCAGAGAACCAGGAGCAACTCCCTTCAGGCGGTCTGCATTCTTGTAGTCAGGGCAATACCATCAGCAGAATAAGTGTTCTTATTTTTAGTAGAGTATGTCCTAATGAAGAGACACGAAATGTTTTCCTTGGTATTTGAGGCTACAAAACCTTAACTGGTATACAAAAATGTTCTGTTTCTGAGAAATACATCTGTGGATTGGAAGAGATTGCACATAGCTGGCAGATATTTAAGCGTTTGTGTGAATCCCAGTTCGGAACAGATTATTACAGCATATATTATTCTAGATCACACACAATATAGAGAATTGGGACAATAATCTGAGCCTTTTCTAACTCCATCCTAAAATGATGCTAACCCTATCTGACAGGTTTATTTTAGGCAAGTGAACGGTAGTGAACATGAGGATAAAATTTAAAGGAAGATGCAAATAAATACAACGCTGTATCCACCTCATTCTTGGCTGGAGTGAAATGGGAACTTTATTCTGTCTTACGCTAGAAAGCTGTATGTCTCCCTAAGCCAATTGTCCTGATAATTTTCTGTGAATGGAAACACTGTTTCAGGTACAGTCACAAGAAGATGGTGTGTGAACGTCATGATCTACCATATTTACATTCTCTGTCAGCATGTAAGTGGGTTTTTTTTTTTTTTTGAGACAAGGTCTCACTATGCGGTTCAGGCTGGCCTTGTGCTCACTTTTTGAAGGCCTCAGGCTGGACTTGAACTCGAGGCCATCTCCTGCCTCAACCTCCCAAGTGCTGGGATGACAGGTGTGTGCTGCCACATGCGCCCCACTCCCAGTTCTGGGCTGGCACGGCCTGTGGGGCCAGGAACCAAACTCGGGGCCTTGTGCTTGCCAGATACATGCTTATGCCTCTGGCTACCGCCTCAGCCCTGATACTGTTTTATTTGCGATTGAGACATTTTCATTTGCTTTTCAGATCTTTTTCCTTTTTTTTTCCTAAAATTGCTGCTTGCCATGGCTGGGTGTTTTTTCCCACTTAATTCTCTTAAGCTTAAGCTACTCACTTGGGATCTTGTGGCTCTAGACAGTGTGTCTTGCACCTGTCAGCATATTTGATTAGTGATGCTGAGTAGTAGTTGTTGGAGAAGGCAGCACATGCAAAATCAGCCTTTGGTACAGTGGGCTTCCGGCCCCTTAAGAGCCTGCGCTGAAAAGCCAGGCAAGCGGTAGGCTGGGTTACGTGCTGATCAGCGTAAATACTGCTGTTTCCCCACCTTGTGCTGTTGTGTAAGCAGAAGGACGCACGTCGATGCATTACGTAATGCAGGTCGGGATGGGAGTCCTGTTCGAAACTACACCTGTGTGCAGGGCTTTGAGGAGTTCGGTGGGCGCATGCGCATCCGTCCCTCGGCCTCGGCCCCGGGCTGGCGCCATTTTTCACTGTAGCGCTTGAGAAGGCTTCCAAAGGGGCTTTTAACCCTTTAAAGAATTTAAAGGTTTCCCTTAAGAATTTCAGAATGATCTTTTCAAGAACACATACCTTTCCACATCCCCTCTGAGGAGGAATTCTGATGCTAGATGCCGGCTGGCTGGCGCGTCACTAAATGGGGCCCCGACCCCCCCCCACCCCACCCCCGCGGGACGCTGAGGCTCGGTGAGTGGGAACAAGTGACGCCCTTTGGGCCTGCTGGTCCAGGTCACTTCTCGGTCAGTGACTGACACTGTTGTGTAAATGATAGTGTTTAAATGCATAACAATTTTCAAACTTCAGCGGAAACATTAGAAATCTGACAACTTGATATGAAGAGATTTTAAGATTTTAAGAGTGACATTTTAACCTTTAAAGAGATATTGAACCCCGTTTCTCACTACCCCGTCACTAGGCTCTTCTCAGTTGAAGGGTTTTCCTGTGTCTCAGGGCTCAGAAATAAATGCCTGATGAATAAGTACTATAATAAAGGTATCTTTCCAGAGTCTTTTTTTTTTTTTTTTTTCAGAACTGAGATTGAACTCAGGCCCGTGCACTTGCCAGGCAAGCGCTTGTTCTGCTGAGCCATCTCCCCAGACCCCACTTTCCAGAATCTTTAGGATTTAATACAGTTCCTGCACTGCATTACTAACACACCTCCCCACACATACGCCCCCTTCTAAAAGGCTGTGTCATATCCTGCTACAGGAACCTATAGAAGCCTAGCACTGTGGCCCAGGCCTGTAATTCCAGAACTCAGGAGGCTGAGGCAGGAGGATCACAGCAAGTTCAAGGCCAGCCTGGACTACATAGTGAAACCCTCTTAAAATAAATAGAGAAACAGAACCTGTAGAGCCAGTCCGGTCAGATCAATAAATATTCTGGATGTCATCAGGTGAACAATGATCCTTTTAGTTATGCTGTTGTAGATGACTGTGATTTTGTTTTTACCCTTAAACATTTCCTCCTAGTTTGTAAATACTTCCTCCAAATTAGAGAAATAAAAGTAGTATGGAGACCACTCACATTTAGAAGGCCAATACTTGCTGAGTGTGGGGGGGCACACCTGCGATCGCAGCACTCAGGAGGCTGAGGCAGGAAGACTGCTGCCAAGTCTGATGCCAGCCTGGACCACATAGTGCAAGAGCATTTTGAGCTACATAGGAAGACCCTGCCTCAGAAAAGTCCATCCTTTGTAGACACACATGTGCATATGTAATATTTTTGATGATGGAACTCACGGCCAGACAGGCTCTGTGACCCTGAGCTACATCCCTACCCAAGTACCGTGTGCTTACATGACTTATTAATGAACTAGTATCCCTATTTTAGAAATGATAAAACAAAGACTCAGTGGACTTAAGGCTTCCAAAGCCGCTCTCCCCGCTTGCTGCACTGCAAGGCGGTACCGAGAATGGCCCCGAGGCTGTTGCCTGGGTTACTCTGCAAAGGCCCAGGGCCGAGGAAGGAAAGCCAGCTACAACCGATGGTAGTCTGACACACGTCTACCTGGGGGCAAAGATGGGAAACGTACACTGGGACTTTTATTTCTCCACTTCAGTAGACCCACACACCAGCAGCACTCTCATGTATTAAAAAGTCACGGCAAAGATGTCACTTGGAGGAAAATGTTACTCAGAGATCTGCCTGCTCCAAGGGGACAGTGATGGCCAGATGCCCAGGGGACCTAACAGCCCTACAAGAAGCCAAGCCCCGGGCCTTCTGTTAGGTAAGACCCAGGGGTTCTCTGTTGTGGAAGGAGATTACTCTCAAGTCTGCTCCTGCCTGCACTCATCAGAATTCTTTGTACTCCTAGACAGTAAAAGGTGGCACATGTATTTCTAATGTTTCCCATCGTGCACAGAGACCCTCTCTGATGTCCTTTGAGAAAGCCCATTTAGCTCGCTGTCTTCAGATAATGCCCACTGCAAACACTCCTTATGTTGAAGCACCTGCCATTTGCTTTTTATTTGCACAAATGCAGCATAAAATTAGAAATAGGAATATCTAATTAGATGGCCAAACAGATTCCTTTCCCAGTTCCCCAGGAGAGCTCAGTGAGGGACAGAACACTGAAAGAATAGGAAGTAGGAGGGTTAAATGCACTTCCTGCTCCTGTCTGGAGGCTCAGCAGAGCTAGCTAGCTTCAGGGCTGGAGGACTCCCCTGAGCCCCTTCCGGACCACTAATGACGAAGCTTTTTCACCATCTCATCCCTGTAGCTCTCCTCTCTCCATCTTCCAAGCATGTAATTATCATTCATTTGAATAATTGCTCCTCATATACATGTGAAAAGACTAAGGGAAATGACAAATACAATTTGGTAACTACATGAAAAGCTATTCAGTCAAGTCCAGAAGAGATTTATGGGTTTACTACTCCGTATGTTATTGAATCAACAGGACAGCACAAAGCATCTTGTACAATACTAATGCCATGGGCATTAAAATACTGCATGTTATCAAGGGAGGAGCAAAGCGCAAGGCTTGTTCCATTCTGAGTTCAATTTCCTTGCTCCAGTTGAGCAAGAGAGGTGGAAGATGGGACCCCAGGGCAGCACTCAAGAGTCAGAGTCTTCCTCTGAATCCTCCTACGTGGCAGTGGCCCCCAGCCTTCCTACACGCTGGCATCTTTTCCCGTGACTGAAGCATGCTCAGCACTTCTTCCTTCTCCCCACCCAGAGGTAGCCAGAGGCATGGAGATCACGTCACTGGCAGAGGAGATGGTCTTGGGCCTGTATCCCAGCCCCTATTTGATTGCTTTGGGAGAGCAGAAAATAGAAAAGCCAGAAGAAATGAAGCCCAGAAGCAAGGCAGCGTGATAGATCCCTTTGAGACTAGAGGTTGAAAGTGCTTAAATCACAGAGTTAATAGAACAGATGCTGGAAGCAAGATTTTAGATTTCCCTGCATGAGGAGATCAGGGTTTGGATCTTTAAGATTATAAAAATAGATACTACTTGGGCTTGACTGGAGGACGGATGCAGCTGTCTTGGCCAGCGCAACTGACATGTTTCAATTCTCACTAACCTTTTTAGTTTCGCTCTGACCACGTATATGTAC